AAACTCAAAACCCTTCGTGGCCAATTTTCCCTTCAGCCACCATCTTGAGGGCCAACAGAGGTTTACATCTAACTTCCAGGATTACGATACTAATACATGCATGTAGACGGCGTTAGTTAAGACCATTTTAGCGCCTTCAACAAAGGAGGGTTCTATAAGCTTTGGTATTTTCCTCGCGTTTCGGCGTTGATGAAGGCATTGATGTCAGCAGCGGCGGCGTCGGGCTGATGGCAGATTCAGGTTTGATTATTTCGGTCTCTGGAGTTTAAAGTGCCTTTAATGAAATGTATCTGTTAAAAAACTTGAAAGGATTTTTTTTCTTGTACAAGGGTCTCTTCTGTACGCGTCATAAAAGTTATACTGTGTTCGGAACTGCTCGTCTTGCTCGTCCAGACACCTTGTCCAGGACCAGCAGGACAAGTGGGCCGCGTTCCGCACCTCCAAGACCCTTTCTGCCCAGAATGCAACCGGCTCGAATGTAAACATTCACTTTTTATTTATTTTTTATTATTTATTATTATTATTATTATTATTATTATTTTTTTTTTTTACACGCTGCATAGGTTTTGATGCATATTAACTTACCTGCAACTGACAAACACAAAAATATCCTTTGATAACACCAATAAGGGGTCATAAAATTACCCACCAATATCTTGCGGTTACCTACAACTGTCAATGTTTACATACAAAATCTATTGTGACGTCATCTCGTCCTGTTCGCCCAGGTTCGCAGGGGCGAGTGGACGAGCAGAATACTTTGGACGAGATTGTGGAGGTTCCGAACGGTCAAAACATCTTGTCCAACTGGGCTGGACGAGATAGACGAGCAGTTCCGAACGCAGCGTTAAATCCAGATTAGAGTTTCATCCAAATCCACTGTACTTTCACAGATGTAGTACACACTACCAGACGCACGCGTCCATGCGATTATCAGTAAATTTGCTCTTTTCAATAAGAGCGGGTATTTGTGTAGTCGAAATTAGCAGTCAAACTATTTGAGTTTCATATCACACGCTAAAAAAAAGAAAGAAATATATATATATATATATATATATATATATATATATATATATATATATATATATATATATATATATATATATATATATTTACACATATACGGTAGTCTTATAGCATGAGGATGTGCATTTGTGTTACGACAAATAAATCCATATAAAGGGAACAGAAATGTAGGTGTCAAACGAAAGATACATCAATTTATTTTCGCAGGAAAATGAAAATTTGCACGCAGTTTTGAAGGCACTGTAATATAAAGATTCAAAAGGTTTGTTATTGAACAAACGTGATGTTATTGAAAGCGTTCTTTTTAAGTCTACTGATATGATACATACGTTGGGATTGTTTTTCCAGCCTGGATATAACATTGCTTTTCTGTATTTGTAAACTCTTGTGGGATTTTCTTTCGTTTTTTTTTTTTTATTTTGATAGTTATTTCTGCAGTTTAAGTATCCCACGACTTATGAAAATACATGTTGATAAATGTCTGTAGCATAAAAATGCCAGAATTAGTTTCATCAATAAACATTTATCGCAGCTCAACCATCCTTTTTTTATGGAGTTGACGTCATTACGTATCAATACCTGATTGGTGGGATTAAATAGCTCATTCTTAGCATGCCAGGATTAAATTACGAGCTCAAAAGTGAATGCTGGTCCAGAGATGAAATAAAAGTTGATCCTGGACGCTGCCATTGCGCATGCGCTCTAGAGATCTGGATTAAACTTGAATACTGGATTAACTTTTATGGCACGTACAGAAGACGCCCTAAAGCAAGAAGTTGGTTCATTCTACATACATTAAATGATCACCACAGAAGGCTTTTCTCTGTTACTCAAGATCAAAGTAAGTCTGCTGAACAGATCTGCCCTCTTGTACGGAAGGCTTTCACACTGCGCCCGAGGTTTAAGCTATAAGGTTTGAAGTGCTTCACTTTGTTTAAGGCTTAAAAGGTTTTATCACTGTGCCTCGGCTCATATTTCTGTCTTCTCGTACTAGACCAAGATTGCCAGAAAACTCCCTTAACCACAAGATGGAAACGTATCACAAATTGAAATACAATGTCAGGTTAGAGAGATGTGTATGTATATACGAAGTGATAATGCAGTGATTTAATGCAAATGTATGTGTAGATTACCCTCTTTTTGCAGAGACATAATCAAAACATTAGACCATAACTTATAAGCTGTGCTTTTATATAAAGAATGATGTTCGTATCCTCACTGAGCCATGAATCTGTAAGTACATGAGTTCTGATATCCAATTTTGGATATGCTGATGTTACAAGTGATGAAGACTCCCCACATCTATTAGGAAGGAAAATAAAGCTGTAAGCCAAGTGTTTCTTACCCTATTAAAGTCTGTGAACTTCACTTTGTCGTCGAGGACTTTTCCCACGCATTTTCGGACGGGAATGGACTGGTCGAAGTATATCCTGTTAGCCGAGTTGATGGTGTAGTTCTGGTTTGCTTCTTGGGAGCCTTAACTGCAGTTGTGTTAGTTATTTTAGTAGAAATTATTATCTGATAATGTTATTACTTGCATTATAAAATCATGATCCTTTTTTATCATCAAGGTTTTATTCATGTCCATCTCTCTCTCTCTCTCTCTCTCTCTCTCTCTCTCTCTCTCTCTCTCTCTCTCTATATATATATATATATATATATATATATACACACACTATATATACATATATATATATATATATATATATATATATATATACACATGTGTATATATATACACAAGTATATATATTTATATACATATATATGAAAATGAAGAAAGCAATAATATGAAATGATTTTTTTTTCGTTCTTCTTCATAATTTTTGTGTACACGTTTCTGTGTTTGTGTCACACGCACACACACACACACACACACACACACACACACACACACACACACACACACACACACACACACACATATATATATATATATATCCATCTACCTACCACCTCTCTTAACGGTTCACTCGGTAGGTTTAGTCGCGTCAACCCACTCACCGCCGTTCGAGGCCCTGAACAGGGCGAGCGTGTCCTCTTTGTCGTGAGCCGCAGAACTCGCTCCGGCTCCGCGCGGCTCACGCCCCGCCCATGTGCGAGAAGTTGCAATTGTGAGAGAGAGAGAGTGAGTGTGTGTGTGAGAAAGTTGTGTATGTGAGAGAGAGAGAGAGAGTGAGTGTGTGAGAGAGTAAGTGTGTGTCTGTGTGAGAGAGATAGAGATAGATAGAGATTGAGTGACTGAGTGACAGTGAATGGCAGAGAGAGAGAGCGAAACATGGTTTATAATTTCAAATCACGTTTCTCGCTGCATTTGCTGTTATGGCAGATAGCATCATTGCAACGTAAACGTAACCCAAATTTGCAGTATTCGTTCCCCGTTTTAATTACAATTAAAGTAACGCTGTGTTTTGGTTTTGAGAACATCAATTATTCCGTGATTTTACTTCAGTCTCAGTCATTGCAAAATCAAGGGTATGTGCTGGCATGTTATATGTTTATTCTACAATGCATGACTTGTTCCCATTGCAGTCCAAACACGAAAACAATAATACATATATTTGGCAGAATGTTGTCTTATGTGCTTATTAGCAGACTTTTGCATATTATTTATATTATGATTATACGAACTGGCAAGACCACACAAATGCAGAGATTTAGACACAATCAACAGACGAAATGTCGGCTCTCGCGGTCTCTCTGCGATGTATATAATCGTGAGTCCCAGCCGCCTCTCAGTAGTAGGTGAAAGTGCGTTGCGTGAGAAAGACTTCTCGCGCTCGTCTGTCACTTAAGGTCGCTGTGTTGGTGTTGGTGTCGAGATTCTCCTGGTGAGAACTGTGTACCCGTTATTATTATTATTTATTTATTTTTATAATTTGTATGCTGATATATATTATCGGCCCGGTTGTTAAAATTGTTCGAAGCCCGACCTTATTATTCATAATACGGATATAGATATATATAGACATAAATGCATATCTGTTGGAGAGATAGATATATAAATGTATATCTATCAGATAGATAGAGAAATGTGCATTTATTTACATGTTTTCATGTAATATTCATTGGATCAGGCCTCGCTCAATTTTAACCGGACATAAGTAACGTGTATCACACACAAAATTTCAAGATATGATAACATAATGAAAGTGGTCAACATATGAGCATAACACTAACCATTCATTGACAGTAAGTATAAGACACCCTGTACGATTAGATTTGTTCTGTTATATGATGATGTTAAAAATTCTGAACATGGGAATGAAATTATCCCCAAAACATGTATCGCTTTGTGACCAAATTCAAGTACAGGCTTTTAAGTGTAGTGTGTTAATTATATCTTAGTTTTGTAACAAATATACACTTACACAGAGAGAGCAAAACATAGAGCATAAAAGACAATAAAGTGTAAGTTCAGTGTATCATTATTATGTGCTTGATGGAATTATGAATAAACCAGATGTAGAGGGGTAGTAAAATATTCACAGGAAAAGCCTCGCTAACTCAGTAATCTCTAGCTTGTTAAAGTCTCACCACAGACCATTTTTGGTGTTTTCTGTTTTATATGAATATTCAGATTTCGTAAGGAATTTATGGTACTGCAAATCGCATATGGTAACTGTTGACTGCTGAGGTGTTGAGGTGACTGAAAGATATTGCGCCGTACTTCTCAGCATTTTGCCACCTCATAAGGTCTATTTGCAATCTATCAGTTAGGCGAACATGCAATATCGGTTATATGTTTCCTGTGCACCCTATAGTTTTGTGTATACTGCAACCCGTGTCTGAGTCGCTTATTTCTAAACCGTGTTCATTGCGACAAAATAATAAGACCAGATATCTTAATAGTGCGTATCTGGCTCGCTTTTGTCTATAGTTAGAAATACATAATATTTTGACTAAGATATATATATATATGGTGTGTGTGTTTCTATATTCAAATACCAGTGTGTGCATGACCTTTCAGAACCATGAGAGTGTGCGTGCTGCTCCCCGCCCTCGCCCTCCTGTCGCGGGCCAGCTGTCAGTGCCTCTCCTCCTCCGACACCTCGCCGCCCCCGCGGCTCCCGATTCTCAAGCAGTCGACCCCCTTCGGGCTCGACTTACTCCAGAAAGCTCTCCCTCCGTCGGGGAACTTCTTCATCTCGCCCTTCAGCATCTGGAGCGCCCTCGTCCTCGCCTACTTCGGCTCCCGAGGCAAGACGAAGGCGGAGCTGGAGCAGGTTCTGCGGCTCACCAACAAGGAGGACACGCTCGCCCTGTTCAGGGCCCTCGAACGGCGGTGAGTGGGTTGGCGAGTGAACGGGAGATTGATATATATATATATATATATATATATATATATATATATATATATATATATATATATATGTGTGTGTGTGTGTGTGTGATTCTGTGTGTGTTTGTGTAAAACATTAACACAGTAACGTGTATACAAAAATTATAAAGAACAACAAAAAGATTTTTAAAATTCATATTGTTGCTTTATTAATTTTCGTGTATATGTATATGTATATATATATATATATATATATATATATATATATATATATATATATATATATATATATATATATATATATATATATATATATATATATATATATATATTATATATATATAGAGAGAGAGAGAGAGAGAGAGACAGAGAGAGAGATAGATAGATAGATAGATAGATAGATAGATAGATAGAGAGAGAGAGAAATGGACACGAATACCTTGATGATAACAAAAAGGATCATGATTTTATAATGCAAGTAATACCATTATCAGATAATAATTTCTACTAAAATAACACGACTGCAGCTATGACTCCCAAGAAGCAAACCAGAACTACACCATCAACTCGGCGAACAGGATATACGTCGACCAGTCCATTCCCGTTCGAGAATGCGTGGGAAAAGTCCTCGACGACAAACTGAAGTTAATAGACTTTAATAGGGTAAGAAACACTTGGCTTACAGCTTTATTTTCCTGCCTACTAGATGTGGGTAGTCTTCATCACTTGTAACATCATTGCATATCAAAAAATAGGGATATCAGAACTCATATAGTTACAGATTCATGGCTCAGTGAGGATACGAACATCATTCTTTATATAAAAGCACAGCTTATAAGTTATGGTCTAATGTTTTGATTATGTCTCTGCAAAAAGAGGGTAATCTACACATACATTTGCATTAAATCACTGCATTATCACTTCGTATATACATACACATCTCTCTAACCTGACATTGTATTTCAATTTGTGATACGTTTCCATCTAGTGGTTAAGGGAGTTTTCTGGCAATCTTGGTCTAGTACGAGAAGACAGAAATATGAGCCGAGGCACAGTGATAAAACCTTTTAAGCCTTAAACAAAGTGAAGCATTTCAAACCTTATAGCTTAAACCTCGGGCGCAGTGTGAAAGCCTTCCGTACAAGAGGGCAGATCTGTTCAGCAGACTTACTTTGATCTTGAGTAACAGAGACAAGCCGTCTGTGGTGATCATTTCATGTATGTAGAATGAACCAACTTCTTCAGTGCTTTAGGGCATCTTCTGTACGTGCCATAAAAGTTAATCCAGAATTAAAGTTTAATCCAGATCTCTAGTGCGCATGCGCAATGGCAGCGTCCATTATCAACTTTTATTTCATCTCTGGATCAGCTTTTGAGCTCGTACTTTAATCCTGCCATGCTCAAAATGAGCTAGTTAGTCGCACCATTCAGGTAAAAAGGATGAAGTCGAGTTGCCATAAATGTTTATTATTGCGAATAATGAAACTAATTCTGGCATTTTCATGCTCTGTATAAACTTTTCAACATACATTTTCATAAGTCGTGGGATACTTAAACTGCAGAAATAACTCTCGAAAAAAAAAAAAAAAAAAACGAAAGGAAATCCCACAAATAATTCCAGAGTTTCAATAACATCACGATTAGGTTTCAGATTTAAAGTACAAACTTTCTGAATCTTTATATTACAATGCCTTCAAAACTACGTGGGAATTTGTTATCATATTCCTCGACAGCAACAAAACACGAAAAAACTCTCGGAGAAAACTCTCCGCAGAAATAAACTGATGTAACTTTTGTTTAACAGCTACAGTTCTGTTGCCTATAAAAAGAGCATTTGAAGTCCTTTATTTGGAATTAGTTGTCGTAACACAAATGCACATCCTTATGCTATAAGACTGCCGTATGTATATATATATATATATATATATATATATATATATATATATATATATATATATATATATATATCTGTGTGTGTGTGTGTGTGTGTGTGTGTATACATTTTTTTTTTTTTTTTTTTTTTTTTTTTTAGCAAACGTCTCGGTAACAGCATTAGCGTGCGATATGAAACTCAAAGAGTTTGCTAATTTCGACTACACGAATGCCCGCTCTTAATTGTAAAAGAACAGATTTACTGATGATCGCATGGACGCGTGCGTCTGGTATTGTGTATTACATCTATGAAAGTACTGTGGATTTGGATGAAACTTAAATCTGGATTTAATGCTGCGTTCGGAACTGCTCGTCTATCTCGTCCAGCCCAGTTGGACAAGATGTTTTGACCGTTCGGAACTTCCACAATCTCGTCCCGGACAAGTATTCTGGCTCGTCCAACTCGCCCTCCTGCGAACCTGGGCGAACAGGACGAGATGACGTCACAGTAATTTTGTATGTAAACATTGACAGTTGTAGGTAACCGCAAGATATTGGTGGGTAATTTTATAACCCTTTATTGGTGTTATCAAAGGATATTTTTGTGTTTGTCAGTTGCAGGTAAGTTAAATATGCATCAAAGGAGTTACAAAACCTATGCAGCGTGTAAAATAAAGACACCAGTATGATAAAATAATAATAATAATAATGATAATAAATAAATAAAAAAATAAAAAAAAATAAAAAAAAATGTTTACATTGGAGCCGGTTGCATTCTGGGCAGAAAGGGTCTTAAAGTTCCGAACGCGGCCCACTTGTCCTGCTGGTCCTGGACAAGGTGTCTGGACGAGCAAGACGAGCAGTTCCGAACGCAGCATAACTTATATGACGCGTACAGAAGAGACTCTTGTACAAGAAAAATATCCTTTCAAGTTTTTTTTAACAGATACATTTCTTTAAAGGATCTTTAAACTCCAGAGACCGAAATAATCAAACCTGAATCTGCCATCAGCCCGACGCCGCCGCTGCTGACATCAATGCCTTCGTCAACGCCGAAACGCGAGGAAAAATACCAAAGCTTATAGAACCCTCCTCTCTTGAAGACGCTAAAATGGTCTTAACTAACGCCGTCTACTTCAAAGGCTTTTGGAAATACCCGTTCAAGCCTCAAAGGACCCACAAGGAGAAGTTTTTCGTAACCCCGGAAGAGTCTGTCCAAGTGGATATGATGACGCAAACGGGAAGGTTCAAATATGGTAATGTATGGGAGTTCTTCCTTTATACAAAATGAACTTCCCTACCTTTCCTTGTGTCCAGTTTCCGTTATTACATATTTTTTCCCCATTTTCATTGCGTTTGTATCGATTTGTCGCAAATCAAAATCAATTATGTGTTCATTAGGTGTCTTTCTCTTTATGGGAACATGTACCTAATTCCAACACAGAACAAGTTGCCTTACAATGCAAGGAAATCGTAAAATGAATCACCTGTTATCAACGGACTTCAAATATGTCCAACTCCGTTCCAGTGGACTCGGAGAAGCTTCACGCCCAGGTGCTGGAGATGCCCTACAGGGGCGACGCCGTGTCCATGGTGGTGCTCCTCCCGCGAAGTGAGAGAGCCAAGGAAGTGGACAGGCTGGTCCGACGCCTGAGGCCCAGGAGACTCGTGTCTGTGTTGAAGGCGATGCCCTCCGTCCCGCTGATAGTCAAGTTTCCCAAGATCAGCGTGGAGAGTACTCTCGGGATGAACTCATTTCGGTATGTTTGAATTAGGGCAAGGTAAGCGAACCTGGTAGTTTGGGAATGGTAAGCAAAGGGTCGTAGTTTACTCACAAATTGAGGTATAATCTGCTATCACAAACGTTATATATATATATATATATATATATATATATATATATATATATATATATATATATATATATATATATATATATATATATATATATATATATATATATATATATATATATATATATATATATATATATATATATATATATATATATATATATATATATATATATATATATATATATATATATATATATATATATATATAGGCAGGAAACTTTCCTCAGTACAGCCTAGAGCAGCCGAGGGATATTTGCTGTTTCAGTCTTACAGGCGGCCGTTTTGAATGATTAAGCCAATACTTACCTTTTACATTCATCACTTACATTCCTATTTTTTTTATTCTGTCTGCAATATGAAAAGCGCATGTCATTCTGATATATATACATATATATATTAGAATGTATATATACATACGCATATATATGTATATAAATGTGTATATATTCATATATAAGTGTATTTATTTATATGTATATACATATACATCCATATATATATGTGGCATATATATATATATATATATATATATATATATATATATATATATATATATATATATATATATATATATATATATATATATATATATATATATATATATATATATATGGTATGCGGGCTAAGTGTGTCCACTGGGCTGATCCCAACGCCTGTGAAGTTTGGATCGTCATGAAAAAAATAGTCATATATAATGTGTTACCATTAGGATCATTCAAAATGTGATAGGTAAAATAAACTTAACGTTCAATCACATAATACCAGTTTAAGAAACGTAATCCTGGGAAGCCAGATGTAAACCTCTGTTGGACCTCAAGATGGTGGCTGAAGGGAAAATTGGCTCGCGAAGGGTTTTGAGTTTTAAACACTCCGAGCTTACATATCATACCATTACTTCAGTAAAGATTCTGCGCATCTGGTTGCAAAATCGTTACATATTGGTAATAGATATCCCTGAAAGATTAAACTTAGTCTTGCTACTTATTTATATCTAAATGAGAGAGCAATAAACGATTATTTAATGAAATGAAATACTGATAACCTATTAAAAACTGTTTTGCTTCTTGTAGCGAAATCATGACGCAAAATTCCTTTAAAAAAATAGCCTCGTATCCACGCCTTCCTTCTCCAGACTTTTAAAGAATGAATCCGTGACCTTTTCTTCTCCACCGCCGATCTGACTGACTTCACACAAGTTCGAGAATTAAAGGTGACTAGAGCGATCCACAAGGCCCTTATAGAGGTGGACGAAGAAGGCGCAGAGGCAGCAGCGGCGACGGTGCTCGTTATAACTAATAGGTCTTCGATGACTCCAAAGACGACGTTCACGTGCAACCGGCCCTTCGTTTTCTACATTAAAGATAACGAGGCGAACAACATCCTGTTCATGGGTGTTTATAGGGGTCCTTGAGGGTCCTCTGCTGGACCTTGTTATCATTATGGTTGGCATTGTTCTTGTTGATTTTAACGTTATTATTATTATCATTATTATTTTCTTGTTATTCTTGTTATTATTATTGAAGGTATTATCATTGTTATCATATTATCATTGTTATTGTTATTATATTATCATTGTTATCATTATCATTGTTATTGTTGACATAGGTATTATCATTGTTATTGTTATTTTTATCATAGGTATTATCATTATTATCATTAAGATTATTATGATAATTATCATTATATTAAATATTAATTGCATTCGATTGTTATTTTATTATCTCTATTATTGCATTTCAACATTATCATTATTATTATTACAACTAGTGTTATCATTTTTATCATTATGGTTATTATTATCATTACTACTGCTATTATTATAAACATTATTGTTATCCTCATCATTGCCACTATTGTTATTGTTAGTGTCAAATTTTGTTAGTTTGCCTCCCCTCTTTAAAACTAAAACAAAATCATTATCATTACCTTCATTTGTAAAGGACCACGTACTGAAGACCCAGAGGAGACCAAACACTGTTCACACCCCTTCTGTATAAAGGAAAATAAGCTATGCCAGAGTAAATTCATTGATATTAAGTTGATTAGATAAAAGTAGTTGAGAGAAAATAAACCCTAAGAGGTAATAGTTATTAAAACCACTTGGAATCATAGTTATGTAGAGAGCATTTAAAAAAAAAAAAAAAAAAAAACGTGACCTGAGAATCAGATGAAGTATATCAACGTATTAAATCATAATCCTTCCTCACAAAAGATATATCGTTGTAAACCAGATTAATCCTACTGACGCTCCAGGCTGTTTAAAGCGTGAAAAGTGAAAAACATGAGCTAAGCTGCAATTCAGACTTTTTTAACACCAGATTCATCTTCCTGTAACGAAAATTTCAGCAGCACTTTTCGCACATTGATGTCAATGTTCTTATTAATAAAGCTGCCATTCTTCCTCTTTCTAAGAAAGAGGGTTAAACAAACCTATTTATCGATCCTAGTAGTGACATTGCTGAAACTTTTATGAATGCGCGTGTGCGTTAATGATCAACAGAAACAAATATGGGCTGATCTTCCAGTGCGAGGTTGCCTTGAGCAGAGGCACAGGAAGCGGGATCGGCCGAACGAAGCCCAAGTCCCAAACACGAGGAAGGCCATCAGGAGGAAAACTGCAAGGAACTTCATTGTGATCTTTTTACTGTAAAGAAATCGAGTTATGAGACAAAGATAAGGATAGGTCCGATATGCGAAGCTGAGCTTCGCCCGGCCCGTGCCGACTAATGTTGACTCGATCAACGTGTGTCAGCTAGTGCGACAGAGGTTATTCCTTACCCACCGTGGTGCCCAGCCACAGCAATTACCTCAGGGCGACAACTGCAACTTCTCACACCTGGTCGGGGCGCGAACCGCACCGGCGCGTTACCCCTGTACTGTCCTGAAGGTTTAATGATAAGGCAGGTTTTTGGAGTATTTTATACCTAGGACATGATCTTGGGGGCCTGGGATTTGAGGGACGACCTGGGGAACTAGATGGTTTGGGAAAGCTTTGGGAACGTCATATGATTGCATCTGAATATATAATAATTAGTTTGTTTGCCATTTCTATGAAATTTGATTGAAAACTGAATTTACTACACATTCCAATAACGTGGTTTGTCAGAGGGTGACTATGGGATATCATTGTCAAATATCATTCAAGAAAACAAAAAACCAGGATTATTTTCTGATTTTTATCCCTATTAAAACTAACCAAAACACATTTTAAATCGTCGTCTGGAGTATACTGTAAACTGAAGATGTGTGTGTGTATATACATATTTTATGTATGTCATAAATATGATATATATCATATATATACACACATAAATATAATGTATTGCATATATTATCATAATTCATATTATGTTTTACAAATATACCATATACATTATATATATCTATATCATATACATTATGTATATCATATAACACATACATTATATATATCATATATCATATACATCATTTATATACTTTATATTTTGTATTATATATATCATCCTTTATATATATTGTTTATATTATATATATGATATTATTATATATATGATTATATATATATATATTATATATATATATTATATATATTATTATATATATATATTATATATATTATATATTATATATATATTATATATTATATATATATTATATTATATATATTATATATTTTATATATTATATATATTACATATTTTATATATATCATATATTATACATATACATATGTATATGTATATATATTGATTACATATATTATAATTATTATATACATTATAGATTCCATATACTATATACATCATATATTATATACAGGTGGTCACCTACTTGCGAACTTCCGAGTTACGAATTTCGGTACATACGAACAAAGCTGTCAGGAGGGAGTGAGTGTAGCGCGCGTCGTAAACTATAGCTCTCTTACTGTACCCACACGGTCTCATTCAAACGTGTTGTATGCTCTCCAGAAAACTTTGAGATTTTGTGATTATTTTTGTAATTGTATTTTTGCTAAATACGATAAAATAAAAGAGTTATGGCTAAATCTCTGACCCCCCCCCCCCATCCGCCTCCGGCTCCGATATTTACTTTGTCGCGTCTGAGCAAATATACCCAACATTTTTTTTTTTTTGATTTTTCGATTTATTTTGGTATTTCTCTGGTAACTAGCTGCAACTCTGCAGCACAGCTGGCAGTCACTACAAAGAGACAAGGTTGGCAGTCACCACGAGAGAGGAGCGAGATGAAGTCCGTCCCATGCCTCGGGGCGACACCATCCCTGATGCGCCCTCATCACATAATAGGCCACTACTAATGATCAATGTTATTCCTGTAACTAATAAGCATAATATGATGAGAAATACATCTCAATCACAGCTGCAGCAGTTGTTTATTCATATGAAATGCCTCGAGAAGCACTGCAAGCAAGCACTCATTGCCATTAGTCCTTTGGAAAAGGGGGGATACACTTCAGAATACATGTGAATGCCATAGAATGCATCAAGGTTGACTCAGATATCAGATTTCCAAAGAAAAAAAAAAATGGAGGAAAAATATCCTCAACTTCAAAGCCTGATATCTCAAAACTTCGTTCGTACTAGATGAATCGTTCTACGGTACAATATCGGTACAATACTCAAGAACAAGGATAAGATTATGGAACATGTGAAAAGTTCAGTCCCTATGCATTCTACTGTTATTAGTAAGAAACGTGGAAAAGTGATTGCAGAATTTGAAAAACTTCTGAGCATTTGGATGAGGGTTGCTCAAAGCACATTAAAAACCACCGAAAACACTGCATTGTTTATACCGGTACGTCCGAAAGTAGAGCTAGTTGTACAGTAATAACATACCGTACGCCCTACTACGGACATACGAACAAACGTACTTACGAACAGCCTACTGGAAGGGAACCTATATATACTACATATTATATATCATAGACATTATATATATATATATATATATATATAGATAGATAGATAGATATAGATATAGATATAGATAGATAGATAGATAGATAGATATACCGATCTGACCAACTTCTCACCTGACGGAGGACTACTTTGTTATTATTATGGTTGGCATTGTTGTTGTTGATATCAATGTTGTTTTTGCCTTCATTATTATTGTTTTAGTTTTGTAATCTATACTGCTATTGTTGTGGTTATTGCTTTTTTTCATTGGAGAAAGCGAAACATAGAATTTATCTGTATTAACGAACTTAGTTTATAATTCCAAATCACGTTTCTCGCTGCATTTCCTGCTGTCAAATAGCATCATTGCAATGTAAACGTGACCCGAATTTGCAATATTCGTTCTCCCGTTTAATTACAATTAAAGGAACGCTGTTTGTGTTTTGGTTTTGAGAATATTAATTGTTCCTTGATTTCACTTCAGTCTCAGTAATTGCAAAATCAAGGGCATGCACTGGCATCTGCAATATGTTAATTCTACAATGCACTGCACGACTGACCTGTTCCCATTGCAATCCAAACACGACAAGAAATATATATATATATATATATATATATATATATATATATATATATATATATATATATATATATTCATGACAGTGGTAGGATTTTTACTGATTATTCATGTTATCATGATTATAAAAATGCAAAAAATAATTTGTTGCGCCTCTTTTTTCGAGACCAAACAAATGCTCCAATGAATAAGTATTCGTTATTCGTATGTAGTGGAATAACTCTTGGTCGAGTTTGATACGGATTAAATAATATAGTTTGTAGAGGAACTAAATCAGTGAAATGTATTTTCTGGGTTTATTATTGTTATTTACATTTGGATTTGTGTGCATCAGGATACTAAGAATGATGAATAGATGATGATGATGATGTGGTGGTGGTGATAATATTAATAATGGCGATGATAAAGATAGTAATTATCATTACCTTAGTTTTCTTGATAATAATGATGATTATAGTAATGGTACTACTAATAAATATGATGGCAATAGTAATGATGATAATGACAATGATAATAAAATGATGAAAATGAAAATAGTAATAATGATAATGACTGTAATAATAATGAAACTGATAAAAAGTATTGATAATGATGATATAATATGATGATGATAATGATGATAATACTGATAATAAAAATAATATTGATAATGACAATGATAATCTTAATCATTATCATTATCATAAGTACAATCATAATCAACATAATATAATTATAATGATAAAACTAATAATGATTATAACATTGTGGTAAAATTGTGGGAAGCCCGACTCAGTTCATAATACGACATGCATATTTGCCGGACATATAGGCAAATAAAAGTATATCTATCAGATGGAGAAATGTGCATTTATTTACATGGCTTTGTGTATGATTATTCATTGGGTCGGGCCTCGCACAATTTTAACAAACCGATGATAAGTATAAAATGTATCA